TCAGGGAGGGGCCACCGTGATGCCCACAGACAGAAGGGGAGACTGAGGCAGGGACATTCATCTCCCTCGAGTCTGCAGATGACCACCCTGACCCTGGCTATGCAGCCATCACCCAGCGCCTCAGATCCTCCACGACTGCGCCCAAGGATGGGGCTGGGGATATGGGTGCAGATGACCACACCACAGACAAGGGGCCTGGGTCAGGCCTGGAAGGACCCGCGATCCCAGGGAAGGTTCTGGGACACAGGGCTGGCCGAGGGCCTCACAGACAGTGACCACCTCCAGCCATGGGGAGAGCCCAGCCAGTCCAGTGAGGCCACTGCCCTGGGCAGAGGGACCAGTCGCTGGGGGGGTCGGAGGTCGGGAACCCGCCTCCTGGACGCCGTGTGTTGGGCCCCAGCAGCGCCTGTGGGACAGGCCGATATTCCAGTCAGTGTCAGCTGGATTGCAACAAGCTGGCAGCCATCGCAGGAGGAAGGGAGCCAGGTGGGGCGCCCAGGAAAAGGTGGTGGCATTACTGGAGGGTGTGGCCTGGCCCCTTCTGGAATCTCACTGTGGCCAGCTGGGTGGGGTTCTGGGGAGGGCACTTGGCTGGGTAGGAATCGTGGGAGCCCCCGCTGCCCTGGGAGGAGGCAGTGTCCGGGCAGGCACCCTAGCGGGGAGCTGGCTCCGTGCCACTGGAGGCCTGTTTTCACTCCAAAGGTTCCAGCACTTCCTGAACACAAAGGCGCGCCCCCCTTTTGCCCATGCTGTTAGCAGCCAGTCCAGCCTGTGCTCCTGGCCTCCTTCGGTCTGAGGGGCCTGTGGATGCCCAGACGGTGGGGGTCCCTTGCCTGCCCGCCCCGAGCCCACTGGTAGATGTGGGAAGACAGAGCGTCACTCCGTCAGTCAGCGTGGACAAGGGAGGTAACGGCGTCTCCTGGTGCAGGGTCTGTCAGGCTGTCGGGCTGGCGGGCACCCTCCAGATAAAAAAATCAATCTGTACTCAGGTGAGAAGAGGGCGCGTGGGGACAAGTGCCAAGCGCCAGAGCCCAGCGAGGGACACAGACAGTGACGTGAGACACCAAGGACGCAGGCAGCTCCCTGAAGGTCGGGGAGTGGGGCGGAAACACGCTGGGAAGCCTCCCCAGGCTCAAGGACCCCCCCAGCCCCTACCCCAGCCAACCATACTGGCTTCTGTGAGGTTCCTGGGGCCGGGGTGGGAAGGAGCCTAGCCTAGCACCTGCACAGAGCAGGGGGCGGTGCTGAGCTGCAGGGGTGAGGATGTGACTGTGGTCAGGCAGAGGCCGCCCCGAACCCACATGGGAGCCACATGCAGCCATCAGGGCCCCACCCGCTCCCTGCCCTGCACGGCTGCTCCCGCACCTTCCGCAGCCCAGATGTGAAACTTTTGCCCCTCGCAGCCCGAAATATGGGGCATTAGCCCTTTGCAGAAAGACCTAGCTGACCATCAGATCTCCAGCGGCGCGAAGGCTGGCGCGTGGGGCGCACAGTTCGGTCCTGCTGGCCGGGGGACGAGGGGTGGTTAACTTATCAGAGCCTCTGGGTCCACACCCAGAGTGGGCAAAGGACCCTCCGAGCATCACCATCCCGCTCACAGGATGTGCCCTCCAGTGATGGGCTTGGGGGGAACCGCCGCACGGGTGCCAGGACTGAGGGAGCGGAGCCCAGGGCCTGCGGGGTCTTCCGAGACCAAAGGGCAGTGGGGGTTCCCTGCTGGGGGCCGTACCTGCTGGTGGAGGCCCAGGCGCAGGGTGAGGCCCCCGTGGCGCGGCTCGTCCCCGTGCTCAGCGCCCAGCAGGTGCTTGTTGAAGTGGGGCAGCGGCAGGCTGGGCCTGAAGTCTGAGCTCAGCATGCTGACGGGCGCCAGTAGGATGGTGGCGTTGGTGACTGGGCCTGGGGGGTGCGGTGGTCAGGCCCCGCCCCACAGCAAGCCAGGTTTCGCCCCATCCAGGGCAGTCTCCGCCCCCAGCCAGACCCCGCCCCATACCTGACAGGTTCCGCCCCATCCAGGGCAGTCTCTGCCCCTAATTAGTCCCCGCCCCATTCCTGCGAGGCCCCCAGCCAGTCCCCACCCCACAGCAAGCCAGGTTTCGCCCCATCCAGGGCAGTCTCCGCCCCCAGCCAGACCCCGCCCCATACCTGACAGGTTCCGCCCCATCCAGGGCAGTCTCCGCCCCCAATTAGTCCCCGCCCCATTCCTGCGAGGCCCCCAGCCAGTCCCCACCCCACAGCAAGCCAGTCCCGCCCACAGTCAAGCCAAGCCCCTTTTCCCCTTGGATCTCCTCCCCGCCCCCTGCTCGCTGGCCGCGGGCTGAGCAGAGGCGCGCCCACCTTTGAGGGCCAACGTCCGGATGCACTGCTTGCTCTGCACATCCCAGAGGCGCACGGTCTCGTCGTGGGAGCCCGAGAGCAGCACGCTGCCGTCAGTAGACACCGACAGGCAGGTCACCTGGTTCCTAGACAGACAGGCAGAGGTCAGGCGCCAGACAGGACGTGCTCGGGAGCCCCCCGCCCCGTTCCCACGTCCCCACCTGTGCCCTTTGAAGACCTTCCCGGCGTCCTGCTCTGGCTGGAAGTTCCTCTCCCTCTGTCCGGGCTGCGAAGGCAGAGACGGCTGTGAGCCACAGGCCCGATGCCCTCAGTCCCAGGGCAGGGTGCAGCCCACAGACCGCCGCCGCACTCACCCAGGTGAAGAGATCGACCTGGAAGATGGAGCCCTCGCTGCCGCCGCAGAACATGTGATGCTCAGCCAGGTCCATGGTCACCGCCATGATGGACACATCAAAGAGGACGGAGAGGAGCAGATCCCCCGAGGAGACCTCCCACAGCTGCGGGCGGGCAAAGGGCGTCGGGCTCGGCCTGGCGCGGGGGAACTCGAGGACCCCGTGGGAACAGGGGCATCAGGGAGGTCAGGCGTCGGCTGTCCTCTGGCCCTAGGGCTTGGGACTTTGGGTGAAAGCCATCACCATGTGGGTCTTGCTGAAATGGAGCCTGGTCTCGGGCTGATGACCCCTGGGTCTCCCTCCCAGGACCACTGGCCACGACTCAAACGTAGTGACGCCCTTCAATTCCCCAGGCTTGGCCAGGGAGCCGGGCCAGAAATGGTGAATGAGTGGGAATTTCCAGGCTGGCAGACCTCCCTGGACGTCCTTGGGCTCAGAGTACCAGGGGATTAAAAGCTGTCTGAAGTCCTGACAGCAGGGAGGGGGAGGAGGCGATTCCTGCATTCCTGGCTGAGGACTTGCGGCTGCCGGGCTCTGCTCATGGACCGCGGTGGGGGGGTGGGGGCGGCTGTACCTTCACCGTCTGGTCCAGTGAGGAGGTGGCCACCCGGGCCAGGGGGCCCCCAAAGCCGCAGTGCAGGTCCGTGATGGGGAGCGTGTGGTGAGACCAGACGTGCCGGGGCGCCGGGATCCTGGAGGGGTCGGCCTGCAGCACGCTGGGCGGGGTGAGGTGGGTACTCAGCAGGCGGGGACGGGAGGGAACAGGGCAGTCCACGCCTCCAGCACCCACCTCACGCACACACCTGCCTCCACTCAGCAGCCTGGCCCGCCTCACCTGAGTAAACTCAAGGCTGGGTCCCCACGGCCCGCAGGACAAACCAGACCCCAACGTGGGCAGCCAGGACCCCTGGCATGATCACTCTGTCCTCTGCACTCCAGCCCCCAAGAGAAGCCCCTTCCCACCAGGGGCCTTGGCCCCTCCTCTCCCCGCCTGAGCCCAGGTGCAGGCCTGGGTGCACAAGGCACTACCTGCAGAGGCTCCAAGCCAGTACCAGGCAGTCCTTGCCCCCTGAGATGAAGTGGCTGCTGTCCCCTGTGAACTGCAGGCAAGAGACGTCCTGGTAATGTCGACTCAGGATGACCAGAAGGTTCCCGGTGGAGACCTGTGAGGGGCAGAGGGCATCCAGGTCAGGGGAGGAAAGGGCGGGCTGCAGCCCGGGGAACCCCATGACCACACGGCCATGGCCACACTGTCGCGCCCCTGCCTGGGCTGGGTGGGCACCTGTTCCCGCCTCATCCCCGCCTGCGTGACAGCCCAGGAGGGGGGCAAGTCTCCTGCCCTTCCCTGCTGCCTCAGAGAGGTGCCGGTCCCGTGAGCCAGACCCCAGGGAAGGCACGGGCTTCCTGCACAGGCCCTGTAGGAACGGCTGCACTCGGGAGCTGTAGGCAGCTCCCACCACTCAGCGGGAAGTCGCTTCTGGGCAGGCTGTGGTGGCCTGACCGGGGGTGGGGGCAGGAAGCCTGGCAGCTTGTCTGAGGAAGAGGAGAGGGAGCCCTTTCCAGGTCGCCTGGCGAGGGCTGAGATCTCTGGTTGGGGTTGTGGGTTGAATCGTGTGTTTCCCCCAAAAGCTTGTTAAAGTCCGGACCTGGAATCTGTGAAGGGCCTTCTTTGGACGCAGTGTCTCTGCACATATAATAAGTGAAGATGAGGTGGTTCTGGAGCGAGGGCCTCCATCCCGTGTGTCCCGGTTGTGGTAAGCTGAGAGAAGTGCAAACACGCAGGGGGCTCCACGTGGCAGCAGAGGCAGGGGAGAGTCACCCACAAGCCAAGGGCACCAAGGGGCACTGGCTACCACCGGAGAGGTGGGGAGGCTCCTCCTGGGGCCTCCAGGGGCAGCGTGGCTCTGCGGACACCTTGATTTAGGACTTCTGGCCTCCAGGATGGGGGCCGAGTTTCTGCTGTCGAAAGCCCCTGTGCGTGGTGCTTTCTTGGGGCAGGCAGGGCCTGCTGAGCCCAGATTTGACAGGCCATGCCCTCTCTGGGCCTCAGTTTCCTCACATGCAAAACCCAGGGTGGCTGGGGAGGGTTAAATGGCACTGGATGAAGCAGGGTCCAGGTCAGCCCCAAACCACAGATGGCAGTTCTGGTGACCACCACTGCCCGGGGCCGGTACACACAGGGCAGCATCAGAGAATCAGTGCCTCCTGGGAGGTCCCTGTCCCCGTGGCATGGGAGAGGCAGACCAGCCCCCGCCCCACAGCCCCGGCTCTCAGGTTTCCAGCCCACTCCTGACTCACCGCTCACACACCCGTCATGCACACAGAGAATAGGAGGAGGGTTTCAACCGCGGCAGGGGGCACAGCGGAGGCAGTCCGGCCTGAGCTCCAGCTGAGCATGTGGGGCACCCCCTTGTGGTCACAGCTCATGCCGGTCACAAACTCTCCAGGAGGGCCAGCCACAGTGGCTCACACCTGTCATCCCAACACTTTGGGAGGCGGAGGAGGGCGGATCACCTGAGGCCAGGAGTTCCAAACCAGCCTGACCAACATGGCAAAACTCTGTCTCTACTAAAAATACAAAAATTAGCCAGGCATGGTGGCAGGTGTCTGTAATCCCAGCTACTCGGGAGGACTGAGGCAGGAGAATCACTTTAACTCAGGAGTCCGAGGTTGCAGTGAGCTGAGATCGAGCCACCACACTCCAGCCCGAGCAACAGAGCGAGACTCCATCTCAAAAAAAAAAAAAAAAAAAAAGGAGGAGGCTAGGGGAGCAGGGGTCTGGTAGTGGGTGCCACCCAGCACACCGTCCCCAGCCAAGAACACGAAGG